CTCAACTCGAATGACAAACTGGCCAATCACAAGCGAGCGAATCGCTTGTTTATCTCATTCGCGGTCACTCAAAATTACGTCCGTCGACAGGCTGCCGCTGAATACTGAAGGTCTAGCTCATTGTTGTAAATATATACATCTTTTGGTGACTCTAAAGAATAGCGGCCCAAACCGAAACGACCTTTCAACGCAAAAATGACCTTGACAGGGACAACTTCAACCAATGAGAAGGCTCAAAAAGAAAGGCGCATAATTGTAAAAAACGGTTTGTATATAAGTAATGCAGTCATAATAAATAGTTACAAAGGATAACGTTCGCGTATATGTTGCAAAAAAACCTCCCAGTTTCTCATAGGAGTCTTCATTGTCATATTAAACCAGTTTCTATACATAAATTCATCTAGATAACTGTAAATCAATGGATTTCTTGATCCATTAACAGCTCTTATCCGTCTTTTCAGACGACTCCATAAACTTTCGATGGAATTAGTGTGCGTTCCATCCACAGGATTCCTGAAACCCTCCGTGTGATTGACGACATGATGAATATACCCATGATTGGATAATTGACGGTAGGCACTCCATTCATCTGTGTGAATAGTCGTCCCAGGCAGCACCAAACGCTGAATAATAGGCAATAATACACCTGCACTGCGATTTGGAATCGCCTCTATATACCCTTTTCGTAGTGTTGTGTCGTATATACCCAATATCCACTGCTGGTTGGATTGTAATCTCCCCCGGTTATATTTCCTTTTTATCAATACAGTTTCATCAATATGTACGATTACACCGACTCCTCCAAGAACTTGAGTCAGACTGTTCATTTTCCACGGGGAAACATCTCTGCAGTAATTGTACCACTGCACTGCCGACACCTCTGAATTTTCTGTTTCGTAAGCCGTAGCTGTAACTGGTCTTTTGAGGACCCAGAAGTTACATATCATTAAGATTTTCGTTAACGGTAGTTTAGACCTAGAGAAAAAAGTTCCTAAGGGATCTGTAAACTAAAAAACAACGACAAACCATCTCGAACCGATTTCCTCCTTCGGCACTCAATACATCTGTATACAAAGCCATCGATGGCCTCTTCTTATATTTGTATATGCATAACTCCTCCGCACTGGCAAATTTTCGACAAAGCTATGAGTCCGTTATCCAAACAGTAATCGAAAACATCCATGATTACTTCCGAAAATGATACAGTCAGCTGATTCCTTGCTCAAGGTCACTTTTTGGTTCGAAGGTCGTTTCGGTTTGGGCCGCTATTCTTTAGAGTCACCCATCTTTTGAACTTCCCTGTCGCGTTCTGCTTCTCACCTCACCCCGTGTGCTTGATTTCTGATACTGTCTGTGTTGTTCTATTATACCGTTTATGCTGCCGTTATACACGACTAATCTTGATGCGTATTGTTCACAAATGTTGCGTTTCACCTCATTTTTTGTTTCCGTTGCCGTTAAAATGAATTATTTCTTTGATTTTGAAACTTCACTACCAGGTCAGTGCATTCATTTCGGTGTAATTGTTTCATACCTTGTATTTATGCGGCTTTTAGTGTTTTATTTGGTTTTCAGCTGTTAATGAATTGGCAATGTGTGGAAGTCTTGGAAATCATGCACGTGACGATGTTTGGCTGGCAGAAGCAGTTGTTTTCAGTCCATTTATTGGTTGCCGTTATTCTTGTTGGCTCATTTAATTACCTAAGATGTAGAAATCGTGAAAAAAAGTGTCTTTCTCGTTCATGTTTACAGCATGCAACAATCTGCGAGTGAATCTGTTAAAGGGAACACCATCAGAGTTGATGTTAGCAAAGTTTTCGAAGAACAAATTAAACCTGGAAAATTTAGAACCTGGGTTGAAGTTGAAAAAGGTTTGAAGGTTTTTGAGAATGTGAATATACCATCCGTGTGTCTGCTATCATTTAAAAAAAATATATCGTGAGAGAATCTAAGTCAAATAAGGTTGAGCCGCATGAAAAGTATGAATCTGTTGTGCTTGTGTGTATTTTGGGGAACTAAAAGAAACTGGAAACCTTAAGGGTAAGTGTTACTTATGCTTATTATTGCTTGATGTACTAGATCCAAATACATGAACTAGGACTACCCGTAATAGAGCCAGTGTTAACATCCATCCGATGGGTTGCAAAACGGTTTTCAAAGCGGATAAAATACGATTATCTGGTGAGTGTACGAACAATCCCAGTTAAAGGTAAGACATTAATTAGGAAGAATAACGTTCCGGGTAGTAGTCTACGATCGGTGGTTTCCTCGAAGTTGTGATTTTTCCGTGACTATAAACACAGATGTTCACGATCTTTAAAAAAAACTAAATAAATTTTCCTTGAACCAGTAGTCTTCTTTTCTTTGGCGAAACATCCGTTGATACGATTATACGATTAGGTAGCGAAGTAAGATGTTATGTGACTGAGAATCGTGGTTGTTGTGTTTTCGACTAATTTCGCGCATCTGACTGTTATAACCGCATGGGTATAGCGTTTTCCTCATAGTACATTATGATATCTAGAAATCATAAGCACGTTGCCATCGGTAAATTTATTTTTTACGGGTTGATCACGGATTGATATCAGTTAGAGAACCATTGAAAACCAGGGAGTGCTGGACGTACAGGGCGTACTGCCGATGATTCCCAACCTAGGATGAAACAGCAGCTGTCCAGTACTCCCTGGTTTTCAATGGTTCTCTAACTGATATCAATCCGTGATCAACCCGTAAAACATAACTAATCCTTACAAACCAAACAATAGAAAGTTAATCTGGTGCTCGCTAGTGACTTGCTACAGGTTGGAGTTTCCTGAGTTCTAGTGAGAAGTCGTGACCAGTGAGGTCCAATTAGATGTCACGTGTGTGGATGGATGTCCCACCAACGACAATGGTTGGGGTCGCGCTAAATCACGAATTAGTAGAAGTTAGAATTCACGAGCCATTGAATCGGGTCCCAGTGGCTGAATGGTATACGAGCTTGCCTTGTAACCGGAAGGTCCCGGGATCGAATCCCAGTGGGTGCGTACTGCCGATGATTCCCAACCTAGGATGAAACAGCAGCTGTCCAGTACTCCCTGGTTTTCAATGGTTCTCTAACTGATATCAATCCGTGATCAACCCGTAAAACATAACTAATCCTTACAAACCAAACAATAGAAAATTTATTTTTACTTTTTAAATGACTGCAAATAGTGAGTCGTTTGAGGTGATAGGATGAATACCTCTGAACGTTTTTGGGGAGACTAGGGTATATTTAATTTTTCGAGTAAGGGACGATCTTTTTACCAAGAAAGTTCCCAGAATTTTCGTTATTCAAAGATAACGCTAAGTTGTCCACTAAGGTGGTAGCTATAGGAGATTACCTTCAGCGGAAACTATATTAATGTAGTCTTAGGTAATGCGTCATAGAAGTAAGCATCGTAGGTTAATTGTGTCTAAATGTATTAAACGTTGTATAACTGATCAAGCCATAGTTCTTACGTACGAGTTAGTTTTATAAATAATGATGAATGTACTGTACAAGCGTTTACCTTGATTTGCATACCTAGCTCATAAACATTATGCCTGCATGTGGCATACATTTCGGGCCAATACGCTGTGATGAATTAGTCCGAGATACTTAAAGTCAGACTTCATTTCCATATCACTATTATCAATTTTGCAACGGTCATAGGAATTAACACCTTCAACTAACTTTCGTTTACATCGGAAACTGAAAATAACAGTCTGACATTTCGAAGGACTTAGTTTAAGAGCATTTTCCCACTCCTAATAGAGAGCTGTTCATCTTAGTACAGTGTAGCTGGCAGTTAACAGACACTGAAATAGTTAGATCGTCCGCGTGCTTGAAGAAGTTCTTTTCGTATGCATTCGTACAATAAGTTCATCAAACAAAAGTACAATTGGTAATGGACGACTTCCCCCTGACCTACTGTGTACTGCTTTCTCCCTGATAAATAAGAATGAAGCCATCTAACAATCCAATACTCAGTTTGAGTTTCAGCAAGCTTATCTAACAGGATATCTCTAGGTACTGAGTCGAAAGCAGATGTGTATTCTAGGAAGGTGCAGCGAATTTAGCCCCATTGTCTATACTGGAGAAAATTTTGTGAAGCAAGACTGCAGCTGCATCTGAAGTACGTCTACTGTGTTTATAGGAGAACTGTTTGGGATCCTTAAAGGCTCTAAGTGAAGGTTGAAGATTAAGTAAGAGTAACTTTCCCTTAGTTCGTATAAACGTCATTTGATTTGAAACAAAGGAAGCAGGTCTTATTAACACTTGTAACACTAGAAAGTTTGGCATTTATGGAAGAATTTATGAAAGACTTGTTTAGTTTATACACACCAAATGAATAGGGAATACTGGAGGTAATTAGATGCATGAAGGCGTAAGTTATTAAATATCCATAAAGTAGACATGCAAATACCGCAGTTTTTGATCACAGAAATGATGGATATTAGATAACATCCTATGATTCAACGGCATATTAGAAATGAATAAAAATTGTTTCTTAGCTCATTGTCAAGTGAACAGTCTATTTGATGATGTCGCTGCATATTAACAGATTAGTGAAGTAGCTATCAAGCCTAATTTACTACATTTACTTGTACTGCATACTTGGCGTTTAGCAGTATACAGACTTGCAACCGGCTAGATAAGGAGACTTTAGAGTATCAAACAGTACAGAATTATTATTCAACTTGCTAAATCCCACTTAGCTTTTACAATGTGCTATTGTGTAGAAACAGACACGAAATCCTATTAATGACTAAAGTAACATTCTCATAATACTACAGTAAATTTCCATCCCATTAACTAAGCTTAGCGTTTATTATTCCTAATTCACTTATTACAAAAGCACATAGTATAGCGAGGAATTGAAGAAGTCTACAGGAAGAAGTAATCAAGAGTATATTAAACATTTGATTAATTTACAAAAGAAAATTCTGATGAAGGGTAATAAAGTTAGTTTGACCGAATGATGTTTCCGCTGATTTCATATTCGACAACCTCCGTATACCTGAAAAAATAAAGTACATGTAAGATTTAGCACAACATGAAGTTAAAAGAGATAATTCTACATAATAGCATATACTATGAATACAACGATTCTGTTAATACTAACTAATATCTCATGCAGATAAATGTATTTGTAGTCTACAGCTGATATTTATGTTGACGCCGTATACATAAATAGACATCATATGTTTTCCTGTATTTGAGGATTATACGCAAATTTCAAGACAATCTCCGGAACATCCATACTATTGAGGCGTCATTCTCTCATCAAGCTTACTTACAGATCAACTTCACACAGCTTTCTTACTTCGCTTGGTCATGAGAATCTAGTCAAGTTTAATACACGTCTGGACAAATCGCTAGACCTGGTTTTCATAAATGACCGTGATGTATATGAAACCCGAAGGAGAGCTCCTTTGTTAAATTCTGACCACTGCATTATTCGTATTTTACCGAAAGTGTACGGCAAGTTACAACGAAAATTGTTTAGTCATTTAACAAAGAAAATACATGAACGTTCATATTCCCATGACAACATTCTAGCATTAAGAAGCATGTTGCATGATACCAACTGGGAACTGTTTACTGACGATAAGTTGGATGCTACTGTCTCTAATATAACCGATTATCTGAAGTTTTGTTTGGATATTTGCTGTCCTTATGAAACACTGTTTTCGAGATTTGACAGAATCTCTTCTTTGCAACTCAAAAAACTTAGAAGACAAAAAGAGAAGTTGTATAAGAATTGTGATAATACTGGTGTCCGTAAAATAAACACCCTTATAAAAATTGAAATAGAAAGGTTGAACAGACTATATAATGAAAAATTTTTATCATGTAAAAATCCTTCAAACATTTGGAAACTTTTCAATAAACTTACAAGTAAAAAACAAATGTCCGTTGATGCTTATTCTGATGTAAATGCTTTAAACAAATCATTTATCAAGAAACAAATTAATATGGTTGTACCTGATGTACCTAGTCAAGAAAATGGTCATTTTCAGGGTTTTGAAGAAAAGGATGTACTATTATGTTTGAAGTCATTAAATCCAACACACAGCCTTGGTCCAGATGGTGTACCAAGCATTCTTCTCCAAAAGTGTGCAGACATCTTGTGTCATCCTCTTACTCAAATCTTTAACGCATCATTTAAGAGGGAAACGGTACCTGCTGACTGGAAAGAAATCAAGGTTGTACCAGTACAGAAATCATCTTCTGGAGCAGGTATAAAGTTTAGACCAGTCGCCATAACATCTCCTTTTTTGAAAACTATGGAGAAACTTCTTTTGAATATTCTTAAACCTTCTTTAAAAGCTTTTAGTGACCCTAAGCAGTTTGCTTATAAGTGTGGAAGAAGTACATTAGATGCAGCCATTGTACTACACCACAATATTGTTTCCTGCCTTGATAAGGGTGCTAAGTTCGTTCGAACAGCTTTTTTAGACTATACTGCAGCTTTCGACTCTGTTCCTAGGACACTTTTATTAGGAAAGATGATTTCAGCTCAAACAGAGTCCTGGGCAACTAGATGGCTGTCTTCTTATTTTAAGGATAGGAAACAGCATACTGTTTTGGCTGGAAAGCGCTCCACTTCCCAGCTAACTGAAAGTGGTGTGCCTCAAGGTGCAGTACTTTCTCCATTTCTTTTCTCTTTCTTTCTGCATGACCTTCCGAACTCACCCAAAGTTAACTTCATTAAGTATGCTGATGACCTGACCGTTTCTGTCCCTGTAATTGCCACATCGGATTGTTCCTATATGAATGGCTTCCTAGCTGAAGTTAAGGATTGGTCTCGCTCAAATGGTCTTAAACTTAATCCAACTAAATGTAACACTGTTGATTTCAGCCTGAGAAGTAAAAAAGATATGCATGGATTGATTCAATCTCATGATTGTTGTAACATTGATGGTACCATGATTGAGAGTAAGTCAAGTGTTTCTTATCTTGGCATTAGTTTCTCGTCAAATCTTTGCTGGTCGTCTCATATTCTTATAGTTTCTAAGAAAGTCTTCCGTCTGACTTATTACATAAAGAAATTGAGACACTCAGGTATAACTCAATCTCTTATCATACAATTTATTAATTCATGTGTTTTGCCCATCATTCTTTATTGTTCTCCATTATTCTTCCCTGGGCTACTCAAGAAAGATCATATAATACTACGAAGAACATTGAGGGCTGTAAGTAGGGTCAGTGCTATCCCTTTGACTGAACTAAATGACACTGTTGTCAATAGGCATATGAATTCTTGTAAACACTTAGCTAAGGTTATCTTATCTGATAGTGAACATCCTCTTTATTCACAATTGTTTCCTTGTATCTCTTCGGGTAAGACCAGAAGAAATTTTATAAACATTTATGCTCGTACTACAAAATATAAAAATTCGACCGTTCCATATTTGGCACGAGTATTGTGTGAAGAGACAAATATCAGAAAAGAACTTTTACAACTTTTGAATCAATAACTAAACTATAAAATGAAATGATGCATATTAATGCATGTGTTATTTGTTATATTATTTATTTATTATTCACTATGACCTAGAAGTGGTATGATTTTGTTGGGCTTTTTTATTTTTATTTTTTTTATTATTTTTTCCTATTAACTATCAATATTTTAACATTTTATATATTTATATAATTATAAACAGAGCTAAACCATTGCAATATGTAAAAGAAACGCTGAAAATTCCATGCTGTAAATTGTTATTGTTGTGGAATAAAGTGATTATTATTATTATTATTATTATTAAATACTTTTACATGAAATGAAGTATTGAAAATGTGTAACTTAGAAATTAATCCACAATCTCAGTAATGTCTAGTCCACAAGGTTTTGTGAATCCTACAGAAATCACATTTTCACGTTTAGGAGACTATAGACATCAAATATAAGCTGAACATGCCTCAACTCTAGACAGCTATGCACAGTGCTAACAACATAGTGAAACACTTCAACTACTGTAAAGTACACAGACCTGTTGTGTTGATGAGGATAATAATGTCATATAATGCAAACTAGAAAATTCAATCGTCATAGCGCATCTGTACTGCTTTGTCTAAATGGAAATCTCAGGAGAAATTCATCTCCACTATTAGTGGTCAAAAATATTGTAGCATTAAGTATACAGTCAGTGGAAATTGTAAAAGAATAAATTCATATTATTGATAATAAAGCTGAATAGATTCAGCTCTCGTAATCACCACGACTTATGCGTATAATCGTACCATGTAATGATTTAGTGCACTAATTGGAACAGCAAGGAAATGTATACGAGTAATTGCCTTTTCCACTGCACTGTAATTGCAATATATATATCCAATATCCTGATTACGAGCTAGTATAAACCAGTGATTTCTTTGAGCTCGCTTCTTGATTGTGAGGTAGAGGTTCCAGATCTTCGGTGAGCTTCTGCGTAGTAAGTCCCGACACTCGACTGCTTTAGCTCTGGTAGACTCCAGGAGGAGTGGTGCGGGGATTGGTCGAGATGTGGTTTGTAGTATGCAGTATGTTAGGACTGTATTGCTGCCGTGAATGGAGTTTGACCTAACTCCCGTTGGTCATTCGGTATAGTCATAAAGCAGAATAGTAATAATCATAATAATAATAATAATAGGTTGTAGTGTAGATAATATAGGTTGAGATAAATGGAATAATAAAGGTGACCTAAGGAAAAGAAAGAGTGAGAGAAGGCAAAATAGGTCGTGGAGATTTAGTTTGTACGCCTATCCACTGACAGTGTGGTTTCAAATTTTATGAGGATAAGCCATTGAGACACAAACCTTGCATTTCTGCATGATTGTCTAGCTTCCGCTTAAAAATCTCCAGAGATGGCGCTGTAGTCACGGCCGCCGGTAAAGCGTTCCAGAGACGGCAAACACGGAGCGAAAAGAAATGTGATCGCACTCGAGTCTTTGGTCTCTGGTGTGCTATCCTTAGCGGGTTACCTCGTGGAAGCCTATAATCGCTTAATGGCAGGATGCCATGGTGACAACCACCTTCGTTTGTTATTCCATCAGTCAGCTAAGTAGACAGTGACACAATATTACTAAAGTTGAGATATTTTTGTACATTTAATTCACATAACCCATAGCACGCTGCACAAATCAGTGCGAATATACATGAAATCCACTTAGAGATAACCTTTCAACTTACCGTAATTCCTGTCCAACCACAGATAGAGTGAAAAGCACATCTAAATGATAACTTAGGCTCCCACAAACGATTCTGATAGCATTTGCAGGTGATTTCCAAGCACTGAGAGAATTATTTTGTCAAAAAAGACTGTTCTTTACACGAAAATAGGCTGTATTGATATCCTGAGACATGAAGTCTTCATTGAATGATACTATGCCGAAAGGTGCAGCTTCTACATGGAGTAAACGATTTGTGTCAATGGCATTACCCTCCAACTATCCTATCTTCCTCATTACACCGATATTTTGATACAGTCCACCTGAAACACTAATCATTGCAACCAATATGCTAAAAGTGTGTCGCAGTCAGATCACATGAGGCGGACACCAACATAACTAGCCAAAAAATAGGAATTTCCATCAATCTAGATAACATATAACACAATTTTATTAAAAATTATTGTCAAAAAAATTTCCAAGCGGAACTTCAACAGTACGTGATAAATAAGTCCAGCCGATATGCCTTATCAACGCCCAAATGAGGGTCGGTACCAATTCGATCCTCCACACAGTATTTCGTCCAAACTGTATATAGATCAACACATAGAGATATCAGTTAGAACCCAGAGGGGCTGCAGGTGCATCTGTGAGGATGTGGTGAAAGTAGGCGTCTAATTTGTAAGAAAAATACGAGGCAAGCTTTTCAAGTGTCTAACTACTCTAAACTTTTGGTTTCTTTAAGGCACTTTAGGATGAGGATTAACCGTAGAGTTATTGCAAGGAGTAGTATCTCTATCTATGCATCAAAGTTACTCTTGTAATTTCAGAGCTGTTGAAGCTTGCTTTCTTCTTCTTGAAAACGAGTCAGTTTTCACAAGCTTTCACTTTTAGAGAAGGATCGGAAAAGTTATAAAGTATCTACGACAATGCAAGCAGCCCTAGATATATTGCAAATATTTGAGGTAAACTGTGAAAAGTAGTCTAGCTAACATGATTCCCTTGGTAAATGTCTGTCTGATGTTGAATCCAGAGAATACGTGAGTAGTTTGTCGTCCGTGAAATGGGTGGGTTCGCGACTGAATACCAGAAGTAAGTTACACCACGGTACTTTGCCAGTGGATCTCCGGAAACCATAATTTGTTTACGTTGTCTAAAGCCACCCAATGAAAATGTAAAGTGGCTGCTACTGATTTCTAGTCAAGGGTAGAACTTTACTATGTACATTTTTGGGTGAGTTAGCTGAGATACGTGCGTCGGTGGCACAGTGGTTAGGACTCTCACCGACCATGCACATGGTCCGAGGTTCGATCCCCTGCCGACGCACACCTGATATCTATGGTCGGCCTGTGAAATTTGGGCTACCGATATCCAACTGAAAATTCCATACTTGTACCGAAAATACAGTGTAGAATCAAGCTGTAAGCAAAAATAAAATAAAGAAAAGCGAAATCGTTCTCGTTGGTAGCGTCGCGATTTATAACTATTATTTTTCCTTAGGGTTTCGAGTGGAACATAGGGTGTCAATGTAGTTGAAGATTGAACGATCAATTCATTGTTGTTTGCTCAAAACCAACTTCCCCAATTTTCGCGGAGGCATCAATACGACAGTCATCGTCTCATCGGTCACTGTTCAGAAAAAAGTCAGCAATAAACCGTCAGAAGTAATATTGTGATTTATTATTGTAATATTTGTTCACAGACCTTAGTAGAAATATTTTTTATATGTTGGTGTTACAATAAAGAATTCTCAAGCGGCCAATCGGTGTTTTGGTTTTTTCGTCCGTTATTACTAAGCGTTTCTGAAAAACTTCAAGGAACAGCGTGAGCCCGAGCGTAGCAAGAGCTGGGCATTAACGGTTTACGAGACGTGGCTGACATAGGGCTTCAGCAACCATGATTGCTTACAGTCTATCATCTCCTCACACAATTGCCTCTATGATGACATACTCGTCGTTTCTCATTTATATTCCACCCGAGTACCTGGCGCGCGATGTCGTTTGACGGCCTCCTCAATGTATCCCCGATCCATCTTCACTTTCTCTTACACATTTGTCGAGCACCGCGAGTAACGAAATTTTTATTCCTACGAAGGTATACTAGCTACTACACTGAAGTAGTTGCAAAAGTTTCAGCTTCAAGGACCCTCAGCCCACAGATTCTGAAGCTGCTGCCTCTACCAGAAGACTGATCTTTGTAACTCAGAATACCATTTAGGGTTGTCGGTATAGACCTTCGCGAACAGTACTTAATATATCAACGCGAGATCTTATGCCAACAACTTCTAACTTATTTCATTCTCGTGTATCAAAGGCAAAGCAAAAGACCGCAATTGATTGTCCCAATTACGAGATATATTTCGGAACCAAATCGCGAATTGAAGCGGTAGCTAAGCCAGCTAGTTATCGCGCACGACAGTGACACGACGGAGCACCAAATGGCAGGAATACTTGACCGAAAGCCTTCAGCTGAACAAGTCGACTTAAACTCTAAGTGTGAGCATCCAATGTTCACTGATGATTCTTATAGTCAGTAATTTTGGGGAATTATTTACTGCTACAACCATGTGAAGTAAGCGACTTCACAATATCAAGAATATCGGTAGTTAGAAGATTTTTCATTTCTCCACTGACAGTAAACCAAGACTACAAGGTTGCAATTGCAGAAATTCTATGGATAAGCCTCAGTATGATTCACACTTGTACTTCTGATTGTTTTGCCCCAGCTTTCTGCCAAGTAGTGAACGATCGGATTGAGGTTACTGTCGTTACCTATCAGAAAACTGGGTAGCCGTTCTAAAAAACAAACTACCAGTTGGTTCAACAGTTAACACTAATGACGCATTTAGGATTAAACCATCCATAACAGCATACAGGTGGGAAGAGTTTTCATGGTTTTCCGCTCCAAAATGTGCATAATCTTTGCCACCTAACTGACCAGTGGGCTGATACCCTTTAGGTCAATGATATAACAAGGAAAGTGAAGGTACTTTACTCCTCTTTGACATTTTTATATATTCATGGTAACTCCATGTCAATCCACAAGTTGAAGGTCAAGTTCTGATATCGGAGGTGAGTTTTCAGGGGCTGATGGTATTGACGTTCACGAATTGTACGGAGTATATTAACGCAAGATCTACCAACAACTTTTATCATATTCGTTTCTCGTGGACCAAAGGCTAGGCAAAACAACTGGATTAGTTGTCCAAATTACGAGATATATTTCGAAACCAAAATGGATTGCGAGTTGATTGCTAAACTGGCTAGTGATCGTGCACGACAGTGACACGACGGAGTACCAAATGGCGGGGATGCTTGACCGAAAGCCTTCAGCTAAACAAGTCGACTTAAACTCTAGGTGTCAGTATCCAATGTTCAGTGATGATTGCTGTAGTCGATAATTTGGGGGAATTATATACCGCTACAAGTTTCTTCATCTAAATATGTGAAGCGACAGTCGCCTAGGTATGTATGTACCAGATGAAGACCGACGAGTAATTCAGTAATACAAGGTTAGAATGTTAGTAGTGAATCACGAAAACAAAGTGGTATGCATAGGAATTCGATCGTCTTTAGAGGGATAGGAATAGCCGGTTTCATAACGTATTTTCGTGCTATCGGAGTTTCATTGTACTCTTTTAACTAGTCGATGTGCGGAGAGGCAATTTCAGCATGTTTTAAGCCATCAGTTTATGGTTGTGAGGGAGGGGATAGCAAACTGGCATAATTTTGGCTTTCATGCGTCAACAACCACTGGTGGTACGTCAGTCGTTTCTACCCTTATCTGGTATCATACTGATTAAGGACTCCCATGGGATATCTGAATGTTGAATAATGCGATGCTCAAAATATGCATGGATTCCTCCTTGGGTAACCCCGGCTCATAAAAAGGCAGTCATAGAGCTTTGTGAGTCACAGGTTATCTTGTAATTGTAGATATTTTTGAAGAATTATTTGTCGCTTCACAGCTCGTTGTCCCTTGAAATAAAATTTGTTAAATATTAGTGCTTATTTACCTTTCCCTATATCTTTTTATTTCACGCATATAAACTTTCTTGTAATTATTGTGAATTCGCCACCCGTTATCATAAATCCTTCGGTGAATTATTCAATTAGCCCACATTTGAAACTGCATCAGTCCATTTCAGCATACGGAAGTACATCAGCCTGTGGACATTTCCGGTCGCAGAATTCTCACAGGTTAAGTGGAGAACACGTGGGCCATTGCAACATAAAACACCCTTTTCCCCATAATACCTTATTTTTTCTCTTTTTCTTAGTTTTTTTCGAAAGACCTACCACTCACTTTTACCCACTTTGTAGGGGACTAATATTAGAGTTCACTAACATTCCAAGTATAAAAGTAATAATCCAAGTCAGTGGAGTGTTAAATCACAATATATTACCAAAAATACAGTGACGAGTTATAGCAACAAAAAGGATTACTTGAAGATAACGTCTAAGTCCTCGGCTACAAATTAATTATATAATCCACGGGCACGTTAATTGTTTGGACTGCGTCTGCTGTAGCTGCTGTGTTCCGGTTGTAGAAATGTCTTCGGTTGAGAGTAGTAGGCTCCTACAATAAATCCGAAGTATACAACACGGTGTGAGTGGAGCAAGTAAGCAGAAGTGACCAGGGAGAAGACGAAGTCTCCAACAGCAGAGTGTATTTTTCAATTGTACACGGAAGTTATGTATATTTCAACAAGAAGCGTTTTAAACAAAAATTATGTACAATATCTCGAATTTATACAAGTAACCAAAAAGTGTACAATCACATTGTTACGTACTCAACACGGCTTCCCCCCTAGAGGTCCGGAGAGACAACCGGGAAATGATAAGTAAAACTATGAAGTAAATAATAATAGTAATAGCAACTTTTGGATAAAAATAGGGATATATTACAACATGCATAAACGCGAGAAGGTATGTGAGTCATGTAAAGTCTGAAAGCATATACAATTGGTTCAGCAATAAAAATTGAAAGAGAAAGTCATGTCACTTAAATTTGCACTAACCATGAACATA